ATACGGACTACTTATGAGGTCACCAACAACAAGCTTACGTACCTGTTGTCCACTTAGCTCTCTCTGGATCGTCCTGATGAGGATCCGTACTGAGGAATGCTAAAGGAATGGGCCTCGCGGGAAAAACGATGCTAAACTTAAACACTCCCTTGGACTGCAAGGGATTATGCTTCTGTGGGTAACTTTGGTGCTATAGGGACTACTGCCTAAGACCGTATGTGGGTGTCTGCTTCCTCCGTGGGAAGGACAACTCCGAACTTGGACACTCCCTTAGACTGCAAGGGATTACACTTGTGTGGGTAACTTTTGTGGGTGTCTCCTCTGGTTCTCAGGCAGTATCTCAGCTCCTTATATACATTTTAGAGCTGGGGTATGTAAATACATGTAAACGAAAGAATATATCATCCAGTTCAATATTTCCTAGTGGAAGATCCGGCGATATATGATTAAACATCCTGGAATACCTATATAGGGCATATGCGGTACCATATATGGGGTATACTCAGGAATGACTCACACTGAGTCACAATGGCTCGTGGCGACATCATGATGATATCATGGTGACATCACGGCGACATCACCGTATATGTGACTCATGCAATGACATCACACTGAATATGACTCACCTGATGACATCACTTTCAAGTGACTCATACGATGACATCATACTCCTGGTTCAGTCATACAACAGGTAGATCATTTCAAAATGGAAGGGAGAGACCGCACGATGTGCTCCTCCTCGTACTTCACTGTTCGTGTTTCTACTTCAAAATCCATATGAATCCTTCATAGACTGTGGGCTATACCCCTGTTCAGAATCAGAACAAACCACCTTGTCATTAAGGGGTTATACTGGAAATACTCGTTCCAAGAATGTAAGGACATGTCTGTGGCTGAGACTCTAGGTTGCTTGTATGACACCTTCGTGGGCTCATAGCTTAGCATTTAGTCCTAGGATGCTTCCAATAGCTAGAAGGCATCTGCTCATAACCGGCAGCTGTACTTATCATTGCTTCTTTCTAATACTCGCTCCATTGACAAATCCATGCCCATGTATGAAACCATTTTCATGCATGACACCGCACCCACAATCAGGGTGTGGGTCAAGTCCTCAACGCCTGGGGGTATACCTGTGCCGATGCCTAGGTGTAACACATACATTGATCCGGAATTAGTCTGTCCCCAGTCCTTCTATCTTATATGCTTACTCCTTCATCCAGAGTTCCCCAGAAAACACCAGAGGAACCAGATTTGACAAGTAGCCTCTGTCAAAGATAGAGTGATAAATCTTAGAGTATATTTGACTATAACTACACAGTATATATATAGGTGGTGCACAGACCAGGTGAACATATATGTATGAGTTGTTGTACTACGTATGGAAAGCATGAAAGGAATCTGTCTAAGTATAACTATGATACTAGAATGTTCCAGTAGTCCATACTGGCTATGATAAGTCGTATACTAACATGTGATAAAAGAGAAATCATATGCTACATGTTCTACAGCCTCTCTTCAAAATTTCTTGGCCATTCCTACGGGAGGTTCTTACAAGAGACATAGTACCAAAAAAATGCATTGCTACTGTTTTACAGGTTGTCCAGCTAACACTGAAGCCTTCTAGCCTCCTCACCCATGTAGTTAGGGTTAGTTCAGATGGTTGATTTGGTGCTTGTACAAAACTGGTGGTACTCAAGTGAACCACACCATCAGCCAAACCCGAAGTCAGCAGGTGTGACAGTCTGTGACATTCTGTGACTTTTGGATGACCACTGACTTGGTGGGGGGGCTGACTCGAGCGCGATGGATAGTATTTTTGTTTGGCTTACCAACAGCCCTGTTGGCTCAGTTGGTTAGAGCGCAGGTCTCATACTTCTGTATGACGAATGTCCGCATTCGGTAATCCTGAGGTCGCAAGTTCGAGTCTTGCACAGGGCACATTTTTTGTTTGTTGAAAAAAACATGGGGAAAAGAAACCTTTCAGAAAGGACACACTTACGGGCCTCGTAAGTCTTGGTGCTCTTTGTGAGGTTATCCGGGAATCGATACTTAGCATCCAGTGAGATTAGCACTGATAGGAGACTCAAGATAGGTGACATTTACCTGGGTTTGGGATGACCCGAGGCGGACGCGATATGCGTAATAACACCAAGCCTCGATTACCGGTATCGCTCTACTACAGTATACATATAATCCTGTCAAAGACAATATAAGGGGCTCTAAGCGCTACAAAGTATCCTCAATAAATATAGTGTCCACATCCTTCCATTGTTGCCCACCACCTTCCTTCCACACTCTTTCTCGTTCAACCCAATACTCCAGCAGATCTCCGACCCTTGACGGTGTCCACACTCTCTCCCCAGTGTCCCCGTCTGTCTCTGCAGTGAACCATCTCGGTCTGTGTGGTGGTAACCGACCTTCCTCTCGCGCCTTCCTCGTGGCGCGTTGTTTCTCCTCCTGCTTGCTCTTTAGCTCGTTTGCGAGCTCATATTTTCCCATCTCGAAGGCCCGCTGGTCGGGGCGTAAGCGGCAGTCCGTAGAGCACAGGTACGGCTTCAAGGTATCCTCAGGACAATCATTCAAGGTGATCGCGAAAGGTGTGAGGTTGAACGGGGCGACAGGCTTTTCCGAGTTTCGCCAGAGCAGCACATATTCGGCTGTGTAGTTCGGTGAAGCTGGCCCGCTCACAGGTGCATCGGGGTGGAGGAAACCGCTTCCTGTTCCAACGGCGCGGCAAATGAGCTGACTGTTCCAGCGACCCGCGATCTCATGTGTGATTTCTCCAGCACCATCTCTGACGGAGCCGGAGATCTCATACGCATCCTTTCCCCTCCACCCTCTTGGCTTGAATGTCAGTATGCACTGGTCTCCAGTGCGATGGTTCGTGACCTTGTGGACATGCATTAGAGTCCTGATGTAGCACACACGAGCGGAGACTCACAATCATATCGCCGTAGTGATCGATGGTTGGGGAACCAAGGATGAACCCGGAGACGTTGGTGGTGACTTTCTTCCAGGAATAGTGCTCGACAACCTTTCCCTGCAAGCCAGGGGCAGTAGTCTTGGGATACTCAGGCTCCCACTCTTCAGGAAGGAGTAGTTCGGCATGTGCTACGCCCGTGGGGCGAATCTCAAAGGATTTGCCCATAAACTTGTTTTGAGCATCAACCTGTGGGAAGACGCACTGAGCGAAACATTCCCGCTCAACCAGAATTCATCACTCGCCTCTCCATAGTAATGCCAATATGGCGACTCCGCCCAACACGCTGAGATAGGCGGATGATGACTAACTTGCTCAGACATGTATCGGTACTCTTTATCCAGCCTGACATATTCAAAGGTTTCGCTCTGCATGCCGAGTAAATATCGCGGTCGTAAGCAATGTCCCTTGACTTACCAGCATAGGATTGAATGGTTTCGCAATTCGGCCTATGGTGGATGAATAGTTGGACATAGCGAAAGCTGCTACAAAGGCTAGCCGCCTTCGAGGGTCACGTTCGCGAGCTGCTACATCGACTGCACAAGGTAGTAAGCACAGACCTAGAGCTTAGATAAGGGTGGACTTACGACACTCAGAGAACTCCATATCCTCCGCCTAAAAGAAGCATTAGAGGTGCCATCAAGTAGATCATTGGAATACCCACCATCCGTTGCAACATACTCGTGGGTTCGTTGAAAAAAACAGGGAAGCTGATCTTCGTTAGGTCCTTCCCAATGCTGTGCTTCAGTACCGACCACAGGCTCGTCGACGGCCTTGTATCGCTACCGATAGGCAGACGATTCCGAAGGTCCTTGTATCCCACGAATGGCTCGATGTTAACCATGAACGGCAGCGAGAACTCAGAGTGGGTCGGGCTGGTCAGCAATTGGCTGACGGTCAAGTTTGGTAGCGTATTTGCCTCTATAGCGTCGAAAAACTCATCCTCCTCGTCTGTGTCGAAGGCGGTTTGGTCGTCTTCTATTGGCGCTGGCAATGATGCAGAAGCCTTACTTGGCAGTACTCGCTGTGGTGTAGGCGTGGGAGTTGATGATGGGAACGTTGGGGTGGCGGCGGAATGGGGTGGCGAAACGACAGCAATAGGCGCAGGAACGGACGGCTGATCCGACGTCGGGAAGTAGCTTGGTGTTTGCTCTTCAGGCACAGGTGATGATACGAGAGTCATGGTTGGTGGCCGCTGCTTCAGGGTCCCCAAGCCCTCGCTCGCACTGACATCGAAGAATCTGCTCCCGCGCTTGCGCGACCTCGCCCGCAATTCCCTTTCCAATGCTTCTCCTTCTCGGACGACCGTTTGCAAACTCTCCTCCCAGACCGACTGTCTCTCGCGCTCACGCTGTAGCTGGGACTTCCACCACTGCTCGCGATCCTTCGCCATCTGTACATATTCGTTTACCAAGGTCTGTACTGTTTGCAGGGAGTCCTTAAGGGCGGACTTCATTTCCTGGGTGCGTGTTGGAGCATCGGCCGGTAGGGAGAGATTTGACAGTAATTGAGCTGTAAGTTCTACTTGGGCTGCGGCAGAATTCCCTTGCAAGTCAAAGTTGGATGAATGTGGGGGCTCTTGTCGCGTCGAGTCTGTGGCGGACGAGTCGTCGTTATGGTCCTCATCTTCGGAGTCCGCACGTGACTTGTCGTTTTTATCAAGGTCCGCCGCAGGACTACTGTCCGCGCCGTCATCCCCAGTCTCCCCAAGAGAACTGGCCTGTGATCCACCTCCGCGTCTGTCGGCACCAATATTTATCCTCTGGCGCGAGAGCGTTGACTGGAAGCTTGACCGGAATCGACCCGGCTTCAATCCACTGGTATCGCTTTCGACGCTTTTACGAGGTTGCTGGTGCTGTCCGTTTTCAGCGTCCCGTCGATACCACTCCATGCTCTTGCTCAACGCTTGTGTCCATCGAGCCGCTTCAACCGGGTGGTTTGCTTTCATGTACCACTTCTGCACGCCTGACTGATGACCACGCGAGGGTGTACTCTGGACCTCGAACCGTGTTTTCTCGCCTCCGGGTGCAACCTTGAGGACGGCCGTTTTCATCGAGATAGCCCCACGACTCGCTACATTTTCGTCTCCCTGATGGCGATAATCTGGTGACTAATTAGCGTCGACAAGAAAAAGTGCATTCAAGCGAGCACGAACATGAGAGGACGCCGTCCTGTAAAACAAACCAGCGCGTGTTATACCCACGAGCAACGTTGGTATATTTGTTCAGGTAACCCTTCAAGACGGGGGGTCCCGAAGATGGAACGTCGATTAGAGATGTGTCATGATTGGCAACTATCGTTCAAGTCAATTATCGGGGTGTGCACGATCAGATGAAACGTACATTGCCGTAAGAATACTCTGACGCGGTCGTCCTTACCAGTACCCTCGTACGCCATTTTGCCTTTGCGATCTCGAACAAAGACGTCTGCACCGGCACGCACCGCATGCTCAATAAGGCGGAGGTCTTTCCGCCTCGCAGCCTCGTGTAGAATAGATGTTCCAGAGGAGTCGTCCAAATAGGAGAGATCCACGCATCGCGCTCGAGGGGACTCCAGAAGAGACAGAAGTGTTGCGCTTGGGGGAGCATCTGGAGAAGAGAGTATGTAAGATCGTAGTAGCGATTGATAAGATGCGTTGAGGAATGATCGGGAGTCTATGAACTAAAACTCAGAAAAAAGGACGGTATGGAGCTACGGCAATCCTTGCCTTCTAGAACCTGTACAACTTCTTTCCCCTTCGCAACGTCCTTACAAGTGCGTCCGTTATTGTCCCGTAATGTATCATCGATGCCGGGTTGCTCTAGGAGAATGTTTACGATGTCGGATCGCCCAAGAGAAGCTGCAAGATGGAGAGGGCTCGTGCCTGAACCCGGCGGATGTATGCCATTGGGAGAGATAGCTCTGTGCGATAATAGCAGCTGCACGGTCTCAGCTTCACCGGTGATAAATCAGTTCGTAACAATAGATAGTTGTTTCAGCACGACACTCACCTGATGCACAGCGGACAGCCAGGTGTAGTGCTGCCGCGCCAGTATTTAGGTCTCCGTCAACTGATTTTCGCCTCTCTTTCCCAATTTCGGCGAGGAAAGGGTGGATTAGTGCGGGATCCCCTAAATCCCCGGTCAGTTAAGAGTTTCGAGCCTTCGCGGGAAAATTCCTCACCGCTGCGAAGAGCAGACAATAATTTGACTTGGTAAAGGGGTTCTACAACACCTGAGACAAAGAGAAGATTAGAAAAGTTAAGAAAGACGCGCCAGAGGCCTTCACTAGTCGCACTCAAACTATGAACCGAAGCACTGGGGTTGGAGGATGTCATAGCTATCCCCAGGATCTCGCTTACTTCCCAGTCCAATTTGCCCCCTGCCAAATAATTTTAAGAAAGTGTAAGTCTCTCCAAATAAGCAGCGGGCTTACCGAAAGAAAACGAAAGCAGGAATGGCTGCTGGTGGTCGAAGTGCTACGGCGCCCCACCGCAAGAGGTTCAGGGTGACACTTTTGGTGGATCCAGAATATGAGGCCACGTGGCTCGGGATGTATAAGCCAATGCTTATTGTGGTGTATATATTGCTTCCGACAAGCTTCCGAACTTGCGAGTCGAAGTCCCTGGGCCTTAGTCTGGACTCTGCTCTGTCGGGACCAACTACTTTCTTCAAGCTTCCATCCGCCCTACTACGATGCTCCCGGACCGTTGCTAGCAGAGAAATTGTGCGGGAAAAGGCTCCTCGACAATAATTTCCCTAAACGCTCTTGGATCTGCGGCTTAGAGTGAAATCCTGGGAGCCTCCCAAATCGCGGCCCTCGCTAGAATCTGCACGAAAGACCTTTCATGTCTGCTCGTCCTCCACGGCTGGACTTCTGTGGAGAGTCTCCCCAGGCTGTACTCTGACTAATGTCCGCTGGTAACCTCATCTGTCTCTGCTACCGTCATATATCGCTTCTAGTCCCGGTCTTCAAAGTA